TTTGGTCTGGCGGAGCTCCCGTAGCTTTCTCCTTGCGTTGTATTCAATATTTTCGGGAAAGAATTGTAGGCGTATGGCTGCCTTCAGTTCTGCCCATGTCTCGAGAGCATCTTCACCGGCCGTGATGGCTTCGTACTTCACCCGCCACCAGAGTTTAGCATCACCCTGAAGATACATGGCAGCAGTTGCTACCTTCTTAGCTTCTTCTAGCCCCCTCCCCCTCTCCCACGGCATCGAAGTACTGCTTGATGCCGAAGATGAAGTTTTCCACTTCTTTGGCATTGCGAGCTCCACTGTATGGCTTTGGCTCAGGAATTTTTAGTTTTTGTGCCGCGAGAGCAAGGTTCATAGCACCCCCGATTTGGTTTCCGCCTCCTCGAAGCAGGCCTTGTAAAGCAGCATTGACAACATTGAGCTGGCCTGTCAAGTCGTCTATAGTTCGTTGCATGGCAGTCACCCTGTCTGCCTCTTGTGCCCTGTAGGCTAAATCCTCGACACGCTCCTGTTGGAGGCTCTCGAATTTGCCAAAAAATTTGGCTGCCTCTGTGGCTGCCGTTTGCCGGTCTCCTTCAGAGTCGCGATTGATGTTTTCTATGTCAACTTCAGCCTGGAGCATTCTGCGGTCCAGGTCGTCCAACCTTTGCACTAGGCTGGTTTTTATTTCAGGCACCGTATCCACGATGGGATGTAATACGTCAACTGTCTCTTCGAGGGACGCAATGCGGTCCCCATGATCACGATGGTCAGAAATGGTGGAAATGGCAATGTGTTCCCTCGTCCGATGTCGAGCCTATGCTCTGATGCCAACTGTTACGTGGCGTCTTCCTGAGATTCCTTGGAAGGGCGACGTAAGGCTAAGCAACTGATGTCAATACAGTTACTATCCGCCAACTGAGGTCTCCTCCGTACGCTAGACGAGATTGTCAGTGTCGTACAGAAAAACCAATGTCAAGAGCAATTGAGAGAACAGAAATGAGAATTGAGAATGAAAGAAAGCTTGATTGCATTAATGAAAGCTATTACAGAAAAGCAACGCGGTGTCGAGGGGGAGAGACACCAGTACAGAGAATTGTTTGCTTGCTAGAAAGTTTGATTGCTTGATCCCCCTTAATAGTGCTTAAAAAAAATAAACCAAAGTTACAAGACTAGACTTAACTAAGCTAGAGAAACATAATGGAAGTGTATGAAATAAAACTACTCTATATTTACAATGAAAAGGACTTAGTTTTCTGCAAGGCAGAAATAGGTCCGTTGTCAGCAACATTGTCTTTGGCATCACGGTCTGCGGCGCGGCGTTGTTGGCATCTGCCTGCGGCTGGGCACTGGCGAGGGATATCGGTGGGAGACAGAGGCTCATGCGCGCTTGTCACTTGGCGCGGCTAAGACCATGGGGCCGTTCGTGGCGCTAGGCGTTGGGAGGCTTGCTAGGACGCCACGGGGCGCGCCCAAGGGGTCATGGGGCATGGATTGAAAGCCGCCCATGACAGTTTGTTTGTACTAGTTCTATACGAGTCCTTACTCTTTTACCGCTATTCTGGTTTTTGGGATCAAATTTGATCCAAAGACCCTAAATTCAAATTTAGATCGCTCCAAGTGGTAAAAGATTTGGTTGGAGCATCTTAATCTAGTTTTGTAATATTAGTTTGGCAGAAGATAAAATCTTGTTTTGTTAGGGAATCAAATTTGATGCAGAAAGACCTAACAGCTTGTTTGGATGGTTGTTCCCCGTTGTATCGTATTGTATTGTTATCATAAAACAATGTTTGTTTTGATTGTTTCATTAAAATTAATTGTATTGTATTGTTAAATTCATTATTCCGGAACAATAAAAAGTCCCTTTTTTAAACAACGGATTTGGTGAGGTGAGATTGTTTCCTATTTTTCTTTCCAATTATGCCTTAACTTATTACTCCACAATGCTATTTTACTCTTTAGCTTTTTTTGCTATTTTAACTCCAAGTTTCAGTAACGACCCGACCGGTCGTTTTGAGTTTTTGCACTTCGATCGCCAGTTCTCGGGCATGACTTGCCCCGTGTTATGTATTATGACTGATGAAGATCGTTGGTTTCGGTTTTTAGGAAAAACGGAATGAATTTGAAAGAACAGTCTCAGTTTAAAGCTTTGAATTTGAAAGGTTTGACCAAGAGTTGACTTATTTGTATACGAGCTCGGATCGCAGTTTTTATGATTTGGTTAGCTTCGTTGGGTGATTTGTTACTTAGGAGCGTGATCGGAATTGGTTTTGGAGGTCCGGTGTAGAATTAGGCTTGAATTGGCGAAGTTAGTATTTTGGCGATTTTCGGTTGATAGGTGAGATTTTGATCCGGGAGTCGGAATAGAATTACGAGAGTTGATGTAGCTTCGTTATCTGATTTGTGTTGTCTGTGCAAAATTTCAGGTTATTCGGACATCGTTTGGTCAGGTTTTTGATCGAAAGTGTATTTCGGAGGTTTTTGGAAACTTAGGCTTGAATTCGATGAGTTTTGAGTAATTTGATGTTGTTTGAGGTGTTTTGATGATGGGAACAAGTTTGAATGAGGTTATGGGTTATGTTGGTAGGTTTGGTTGAGGTCCCGAGGGCCTCGGGTGAGTTTCGGATGGTCAATCGGACTATTTTCTAAGTTTAAAAGTTGCGGAATTTCAGTTCAGGTGTTGCAGAGATTTATCTCTTCGCGTTCGCGAGAGGACCTCGCGTTCGCGTAGAAGGAAATTGGAAGGCAGGAATTTAAGCCTTCGCGTTCGCATTTGAAGACCCGCGTTCGCGGAAGGCTAAGATATTGTGCTTCGCGTTCGCATGGACCTGCTCGCGATCGCGTATAAGGAGTTGGGGTCCAGCGGATTTGCTCTTCGCGTTCGCATCATGTGAGTCGCGTTCACGTAGGTATGAGGAATAAAGCATTGCATTCGTGGTGCGGGTATCGCGTTCACGTAAGGTTAATTTTGGATAAAATAAAAATGTGCTTCGCGTTCGCGAGGCTGAGGTCGCGAACGCGATGAAGGTAGTTCAGAACTGGGCAGAATGTTTTAAGTCACTTCATCCGCAATTTTGGGTCATTTTTCCTCCATGGTTGATCATTTTGAGAGCTTCTTGATGGAGATTAAAGAGGGATTCAAGGGGAATCAATTGGAGATTCAACGCGCGTGGAGGCCTAATTGAGGGGCAAAGGCGTCGCGAGCTAGAGATTTCGCCGGCTCGAGGTGAGTAATGATTGTAAATGATATCCTGAGGGTTTGAAACCCCGTATTTTCACAAAATAGAGGGGAAAACAAAAAAAGATACAGTCGCCTTTTTTTAATCTATTTCAAAAATTATTAGAACTTTTATTTGGAAGCTTTATAATATTAAAATTTTCATTTTGTTCTATAATAACTAAGCAGTGATGGATAGAGTTATCCGTAATTGTTCTGGTGGAGGTAACGTGTACATATCTCGTATTCGATAGAATAATCGAAATTCACGCAAACTGTCATAGACCACATCATAAAAGTTGTGCTATAGGCTAGTATAATACTCCATTTGTCTCAATTGTTTCATACTTTCTTTTTTAGTATGTCCCGAAAAGAATATCATACTTTTTTATTTAGAAACAATTCAATTTTAAACATCTTATTTTACGTTTGATAAAATAATGTATTATCAAATAAATATTTATAATTTAATTCAAAAGTTTTTTCCCCCTGAAATTTAGTGTACAATTAGATATCGCCACATAAATTCGGACTTATTAAGTAGTACATTGAAGACCCCTAGATACTAGGTGCACATAGCAGAGAGCCCCAACAATAAACTCAGAAAGAAACCCTTTAAATTCCAATCCAAAAACTTAAACCTAAATCCCTCTTTCCATGGCTTTGAGAATTCATCTTCTTTACCCAAACTATTTCCCTTCACAATCCACAAATACCCAAATCAATTGGGTTCCCTCCATTTATACCCTCAAAAATCCACTCAAATTTCCTAAAATCTCATGCACCAACAACAACGACATGAGCGATTTAGAGCTGGCCTTAGATTTTGCAACAGAGGTTGATAAAATAAACACCCAGATGTTACAAAAACAGGAGGCACTGAAGAAAAGCAGAGAGCTATTGTATTTGGAATTTTGCAACTATACGGGCTTGAAATCGGAGGAAATGAAGAAGAAATGGAAGAGATTAAGTGAAGAGGAGAAATGGGCTTTGGTTAAAGGTTTTGTGTTAGAATGGGCTGCTCATTTTCATCCCTTGTCTGCTCGGTCTGTTAAAGATTTGGTTGATGAATACTTGGTTGAAAATACTCCTGAGTCTACTTCTTCTGCTTTTTTCCCTGGTCTCAAAAAATTGATGGGATTTTCACAGGATGATAATTAATTGTAGAATTTTAGTTTTTGTTGTTGATTTTAGCTAATTTTTATTGTATTTTGAAGATTCGTACCAAAAGAATAGTTGTGATGATTTTTAATAAAGTGATATTCAGCTTCTGACTTGGCTTATCGACCAGTTTTGTGCTTTGCTAACTATTGATGATGACAAAAAAAAACTACAGATGATCTAGTTAACGATCTGGAAAGAGAGAATTAGGAAGAGAAAATGTACTATTTGAGTTTATGTTTGAAAATTCCGACAATAGAGTTGATTAAACCCATCAATTATCAACATTAATAACTTCTCAAGAAAACGAAAATTAGATTAACTTCTCTACTACTAAACGCTCAAAAGGAGACAAGTGATAAACTTTTCTTTGTGTTTTCCTGATATCCTGCTAAACAGGAATTTTGCAATATCATAACTATAAGAAAATTAGACAATACTATGATGTAAAGTATTATGCACTTTTGAGTGAATTGCCTACTTTTAGCCACATTGAAACCTTAAACACTAGTTACTCATGGTTCAATTTTCTTAACATAGGATTATTATGGTGTCTGTGCCCTGCTGATGCAGAAGCTATATTGTAAAAACAAATGAAGGATGAGCAACTGAGAAAGGGAAAGACACAATACAGAAAGCAAAAAGAAGCTTCATAAAACCCTCATGAACTTGATATATGAGTCATCAGGATTCAAGATATCTGTATTACTGTATATACTTTTCTCTGGAACAAATGAGTGTAACAAATACAAATGCAACTGTAAAACAGACTTTCTCACCATCGGAGAGAATCCCTCCTCTAATAATGGCTACCTCATGCCTAGAAAAAAATTCATAATTTCCCGGAATTTAACTCAGTGGCCACTAGATCAATTATTCTCTAATTTGACACAGCTAAGACTAGCAAACCCTCCCAGAAAACATGGATCTAAAACCATGATTAGTAACTTAGCCGAAAGTTGTTGACCTTTTCATGAGGGAAAAATAATTAAAGAATTCTCAATGGCAAAGCAACCTCAAGAAGATTGCTTTTGATTTTGTTCTATCTTGGCTCGTAACTTCTCTTCCAATACAGAAATCTCTGTATCAAGACCAAATATTCTGTTAAGGGCATGCATATTTTCAAGTATCTCACTTAAAGTTCGGTTTTCAGCTCCATCACATTTCAGATGCTGCATTGGTCCGTGTAGCAGCTTGTTCACTATCCCTAGACTGAGATCATAGATAGCCTTCTTCTTGTTTTTGGGGAGATCATCACCCATCTTTGACAAACACTTGTCAACCTCAGCAGCCCTAATTCTTTCAGCATATGCCCTGAGCTTTTTGATAGTTGGAACCGTCTCAAGGGAGTCTTTACGGGCTTCAAATTGTTTCACTTCCTCAGTAATGATGGCCTGAGCTTCCATTTTCTTCCGCAACCGATCCTCCTTATTAGCTTCCACAACCTCTTTAAGATCGTCCACATTGTAAACACATGCACCTTTGAGTTCTGAGACACAAGGCTCCACATTCCGAGGAACAGAAATATCGATAAATAGCCTCTGTCCCCCAAATCCAGAGTTCACATCAGGAAGTGCTTGAACACTCTCCTTTACAAATATAGGAGCCTCTGAAGCAGTGCAGGTGAATACTACATCAGCCTGAGCAGCACATGATGACATTCCTGAGAGAGGTTTGTATATTATTTCAGCATCCTTCAACTCCTCACGGATGGCAGCAACTCTGTCCTCGGTCCTGTTAACTACAACCATCTTTTTACACCCTTTAGCAACCAAATGTTTGATCACAAGCTTTCCCATCTTGCCTGCTCCGACTACTAACACGCGGGCAGTAGAAGAAGAATACTCTGGAAGTTTCAGCAAAGCAAGCTCCACTGCAGCTGAACTTACTGATACTGATCCGCTGGAAATATTGGTCTCAGTCCTAACCCTCTTTCCGGCTGTGATTGCATGCTTAAATAGCTCACTTATTTTCCTACCAAAGCCAGGGACTCCCTGTCCGTTCTTAACAACCTGCTTGACCTGTGCAAGAATTTGACCTTCTCCTAGGACAAGGGAATCTAGCCCAGCAGCTACTTCAAAGAGGTGTTGTGTGGCATCTTGATTGTATAGCAAAAACCGGTGTTGGCAAAGCTCTGTAACTGGAACTCCACTAAACTGCCAATCAAAAATATTTGTGTCAAAAAGATTTGCTTGATAAAGTACAACAAGTAAGAACTGTAGCTTATGGCTTTATTTCTTTGAAAATTGTGCTTTAAGTAGTCAGACATTTGCAAAGATATTTGGGAGCAGGGGAGCCAAAGCACTGTAAACTAAATCCAATTCCTTCTTAAATGTAGAAATACAGTGTATTAAATGGCATAGCAACGCCAAATCTTTTGTTTATTCTTAAGTGTATCTTTCATTATGGAGAATATACAAAGTAATTCCTAAACCTTTGAAACCAGCAAGAATTTGTTCATAACCGACCTCAAGATACACAGGCTAGATGATCCACATTAGAGTAGAATGTGGTTTTATATCAGCAATTGTGTTGCTGGTTTATCACATGGGTTTAAGATGTGAGACAACAAAAGAAAACATTATGCAGATAATGATGATTGAAGAAAAATTTACCTTAGACATCCACTCAGTCACTTCTTTAATTCCACGATTTTGGGCCAGCGCCACAACATATATTTCGATTCTGTTACAAGTACTCAATACAGCAGCTTCCTCTATATGATTCAAGGAACATAGTTCACGAATTGCTTGAGGCCACTGTGCTTCTGGGATGGAGACTTTCTCCCGCACTTCAACTGGTGCTGTGTGAATGTTAAGTCCAATAACCATGATGCTGCTGCTACTCTTTGAATATCCTGGTCGAGAAAAAGTTACTAATGTTTAGATTCAAATTCTAACCTTCTAAAACCATCTTAGGTGAACTTCTCATCGCCGTACACTATTCAATCAATCAACTATATTAATTCCGCTCTATTCATGTATTTAGTATTCACAAAATTCATCAATAAAATTCAATCAAAGACAGATATAAATTAAAAAAAAAGACAATGAAATATCTAGATTTCTAGTTAAACAACTATTTCTGGAGATATATTAACACAGTCTGAACGCTAACTAAAATAGTCTAGTCTAAATTAATAATTCCAATCTCTAACTAAATGAGTAAACAAATAATTAAAAAGAAAAGGCTTGAGAACGATGCTTACTGTCAGCCGCAGATGTTTTCAGAAGCTCCAAAGCTGAAAGACTCGACGCTTTAGATCCCTTTTCACCATTGTTAACTACCGAGTTCGAAGCAACCTCACATCTAGGTCTCAACGAATGCGATTTCGTCCAATAAACCAACGGCTTAATTTTTCCACGGTTCACGAAAAATCTAACTTGATGACGAAAACAATCCACAGAAGGAGAAAAAGACGAAGAACAAGACGTAGAACTTAAATTATCAGAATGAAAACTGTCACCTGCAAAAGTAGTCGCAAAGCCACTCGCTACCGCCATTGAAACGCAATTTTGAGAAACAATAGCGGATATTGCGAGAGAACTCCGAAACCTAGATTTGATATTGAGATTCGGAGCAGGTGACAGAGAAGAATGGGTTTGGTATAAAAAAATTGTTGAATGGTGTGATGATATAATTGGGTATTTGGTGGCAAATTTTTGACCAAATCGATAGATGATGGTTGAATTGTAAGACAGTGGTTGGGAATTATTGACCAGTACGGCTCCTATTTATAGTTGTGGGGTTTTTGATTATTCCTTTTATATATACGCGTTGGTTCCACACTCCTCGTAGCGTATTTGGCCAAATTTTTTTTTAGGCAAAAACATTTTTTTTGGCCAAAAATGTTTTTTTTTTTAAAATTGAAGTGTTTAGCCAAGTTTTTGAAAAGAAAAAGAAAAGTGCTTTTGAGGAGAAGCAGGAGCAGTTTTGGAGAAAAAAAAAAGTAGCTTCTCTTCAAAAGCACTTTTGAGAAAAATACACTTAAAAGCAATTTTTTAAAGCTTGGCCAAACTGTTCATAAGTGCTTTTCAATTAATTAGCCAAACACAAACTGCTTCTAGTACTTTTGAGAAAAATACTTTTAAAGAAAAAACATTTCTCAAAATAAGCTGAATTTTGCAGTTTCGCCAAACGGCTATAATCCTAATTGGAAATGGTCCAAACGTGAGAGTGCTACTCCATTTAGGAACGTGATAATAATGTAAACGTTGTATACCTTTTTTGACTTTGATTTGGATTTGGTTGCCGTACTGTATTAGATTTCATCGTACGTAATTAGAGTTATAATTTGACTATTTAATAATTTTTTTTTTAGAATTTGAATACTCGTTTTTATTATCAAGGATTTATGCACTTCCAATAAGTATTTGAATGATTCCAAATGCCATCTTATAAATCCCTTTTGAGGCGTGAGTTTTTCTTTCACTACTAGTAATACGCAAAAAAACCGATCAAAATTTTCCAATCAACGTTGGTCGGTCAAAAAATGCAACCAAAAAACCGTCCAGCTTGGACAGAAACTGGAAAAAAATATTTTATATTTATTTTAAAAAACATACACGACCAAAGTTGGTCGGTAAATTGGTCAACAAGTTGACCGAGCTGGTCAGACTTGCTCAGTCAAAGAAACCTTCACATTACCGACCAACTTCGGTCAGCAATGTGGACCCAATTTTTTAAATTTTAATAGTTATATTATTATTTAAAATATTTTATAATTTAAATTTACCGACCAACGTTGGTCGGTTAATGCAGAGGAAGCTTTTACCGACCAACTTTGATCGGTATATTTTAATTTCTGGAAAATAACCGACCAAAGTTGGTCGGTTATTAGGAAAACATTGGTCAAAATTATGAATCACTTTTATATTTACTATCTAAATAATATAAATGTAATCCGTTAACACTTTTGTAATACAAATAATAAATACACTAATATATACTATAACAAATACTATAACATGCTATATATGTTGTTAAAGTAGTACAACGAAGCATGTTATACACACACACACACACACACACAC